CCTGAAAGCTCTTCAGCGCGGTGGTGAGGAAGGTGGCCATGGGTGGGCGGCTGTGGCAGCCTGTGCCCCACGGTGCCAGACGCCACCGGGTCCCTGCCCGGGGCCGGCACCTGCAAGGTCAGCGGGACCGACTGCCCCAGGGGCGCTGCGGATCAGGGGCGGATTAAGGCATTAGGAGGGGAAGACACAGCCAACGGGGTGAAAAGACCTTCCTGCGCCGCTCGCTGCACCCAAGGGTGCTTGGGGGGGGACTGTGGTGCAGGGAGACAGCAGGGGTGACAGGTGCCTCCTTGGGGTGATGGGGAGGTGGAAGGAGCCACTGAGCCCCAGTGCATCGGGCTGGATCGGGCTGGAAGACCCCCATTGCATGGGCTCTGATGGAAGGCAGCACCCACAGGGCCGGATCCTGCTGGGGGGAGCCCTGCGCCGTGGGCACCCAGCGGCACTCACACCGGCATGGGGGGTTGGAGGTGCAAGAAGTCAGCACAGGGGAGACCCAAGAGGATTAGCTGAAAAAAAACAATCGAGGGGCAAAGGACTAGAAGGAAGACAAGGTGGTGGGTGGGTGCACATGCGTGCCTGCGGCCCCGTGCCCCCTTTAATCCTGGCTCCACTGAGATGTCGGGATTGCTTGGGAGCCGGCGCAGCTGGGGGCTTCCCACCGCCGGAGGACGTGCCCCACTCCAGTAATCTATATGCGAGCAATTCCCATACAGACTCTGATTAAAAGAATAATCCCCGGCTGCCCAGAGCCCTGAGGGGAGAGGGGTCAGGCTGCACGGGCTGCAGCTCCTGGGCCCACCCAAGCCTTTCCCTGTGCTTTGCCAGGCCCCAGGCGAGGGATAGGCCTAATTTGAGCCCAGAGGCTTAAAGATGCTGTTGAACTAATTTCTTTGGTTTAATCAAAAAGCCCAAATCCGGATGGTTTAGCTGGCTGCGCCCGGCGTCCCCGTGTGGGGCCGGGTGGCTGGAGCACGGCTGGGTTGGGGTTAGGGTTTCATCCTCCGGTGGGTGGAGATATCCTGTCCTGTGCCCTGTCACTAGGAAGGACAGCCTGAAGGGACCCCATGTGCGGCACCCACTGTCCAGAGCGGATTGTGGGGTGTGTGGGGCATGGCCCCCCTTGGGAGGGGAGATCGACCCCATGGGAACCTTCTCTGGGCTGTGTGGTGGGAAGAAGGAGCCATGCCAGGGTGGAGGGAGGCCATTGCCTCCTTTTTGTGAGCACCAGAGGTGGAGAGCCCCCCCCCTCAAGCTGCTGCCCCATCTCCACCAGGAGAGAGCGGCATCAGGAGTAACTCCACTGCCCAGCCACCCCTCACCACACCACTCCCAACCCCGGCAGGACCAGAGGACTTCCGGCCACGGGTCCTGGGAGCGGGATGGAGGTTAAACGTCCCTCAGGTGCTTCAGCTCCTTCTGCAGCTTCTCTGTGAGTTTCTTGAAGGACGGCCGCTTGCATGGCTCCAGCTCCCAGCAGCTCTTCATCAGGGCATAGACGGCGGGTGGGCAGCCCTCGGGGGGCTCCATGCGGTACCCCTGCTCCAGCAGCTCTGTCACCTCCTTCAGGCTCTAGCAGGATGGAGAAGCCAGCTGGGACCCCCCTTCCCTGCCTCCCCGGGGGCTCGCCCTGGCAAGAGACAGTGCGATGTCCCCTTCCCATTGGTGCCAGTGAGGTGTGACCTGCGGTGTCCCCCAGCACAGCACTCACCAGCTTGGGGTAGGGCGCTCGTCCAAAGGAGAAGGTTTCCCACAGGAGGATCCCGTAGCTCCACACGTCTGACTTGGAGGAGAATTTCTGTGGTGGCAGGAGGACAGGAGGCTGAAGTTGGCCAGGGGCTGTGCTGGGCCCCCGCCCCTCCCCGAGGGCAAGACAGGAGATGGCACCTGCCCCCCACCATCCCCAACTCCCTGGGGTGCGACCCTCCCTTCCCTTTCCACCACCCACACAGCCCTGGGTCCATCCTGCCGCATCTCAACAGAGCCTCCCCAATTCCCATGATGCGCGAGGTCACGACGGAGCCTGAATTTCAGGAGATGCAGGGCTGAATGTGCCAGAAGCCATGGGGCAGGGACCGGTTGGTGGGAACAGGGGGGACCCAAGGAGGTGAGCTGCTTTGGGAGGACTCCCCAACGCCCCCTCCTTTCCCACCATCACTCACGTTGTGTTTCAGGGCTTCTGGCGCTGTCCACTTCACGGGTAGCAAAGTAGCGTCTGCACCCTTGGGATTGACCCGGGCCAAGCCAAAATCGCTCACTTTGGCCACATTCTCCTCGGAGATGAGGATGTTGCGGGCAGCCAGGTCCCTGTGCACCAGTTTCTTGGACTCCAGGTAGTCCATGCCCTGGGCCACGTCCCTGCCACGGGAGGCAGATCACAGTGTCACCACGTGTCCCCCTGGTCTGCATGGGGGGACACAGAGCACCCCTCCCCTGCCTGGAGGGAGGGAGATGGACTTACAGAGCGAACAGGAGGAGCTGCTGGGTCTGAAGTTGGCCAGGGGCTGTGGGGGGCCCCCGCCCCTCCCCGAGGGCAAGACAGGAGATGGCACCTGCCCCCCACCATCCCCAACTCCCTGGGGTGCGACCCTCCCTTCCCTTTCCACCACCCACACAGCCCTGGGTCCATCCTGCCGCATCTCAACAGAGCCTCCCCAATTCCCATGATGCGCGAGGTCACGACGGAGCCTGAATTTCAGGAGATGCAGGGCTGAATGTGCCAGAAGCCATGGGGCAGGGACCGGTTGGTGGGAACAGGGGGGACCCAAGGAGGTGAGCTGCTTTGGGAGGACTCCCCAACGCCCCCTCCTTTCCCACCATCACTCACGTTGTGTTTCAGGGCTTCTGGCGCTGTCCACTTCACGGGTAGCAAAGTAGCGTCTGCACCCTTGGGATTGACCCGGGCCAAGCCAAAATCGCTCACTTTGGCCACATTCTCCTCGGAGATGAGGATGTTGCGGGCAGCCAGGTCCCTGTGCACCAGTTTCTTGGACTCCAGGTAGTCCATGCCCTGGGCCACGTCCCTGCCACGGGAGGCAGATCACAGTGTCACCACGTGTCCCCCTGGTCTGCATGGGGGGACACAGAGCACCCCTCCCCTGCCTGGAGGGAGGGAGATGGACTTACAGAGCGAACAGGAGGAGCTGCTGGGTCGGGACGAGCGCCCGGCCCCGTGTGCGCAAGAAGTTCACCAAGTTGCCCTGTAGAGAAGGAGAAATGCATAAGGACCACCAGGACTGGGGCTGCCCACAGATTTTACCTCTCACAGAGGCTGCAGCACCTGGCACCCATCCAACTCAGCCCCCAAATGGGGATTTTGTCCCCAGATCTGAGTGGTGACGGGTCCTGCTGGCTGAGGACCAGCTGGGTGCTCTCACCTTGCTCATAAACTCCATGACAATGTAGAGGCCGTTGTGCAGGATCACACCGAGCAAACACACCAGGTTTTTGTGCCGGACCTTCCTGAAAAGGAGGGGATCTGGGTCAGGGGGGTGCCCGCTCATCCCTGGGGCATGGGGCAGGGTTGGATCATTTCTCCCCATGGGGGTCTCACGTCATGGCAGCAGTTTCAGAGAGGAAGGCCTGGGCAGTCACATCACACTTAATGTTCTTCACGGCCACCTTCTGCCCCATATACTCGCCCTGCAGGACATCTGGGAGGGGATGTGGGGGGTAAGGTTCAGCCCCGCACTCGATCCCTGCGTCCCAGGCTGAGTCCCCCATGCTACAGGATGGGGAGGGGACATCAGAGGGAAGCCCACAGCCAGGGAAGCTCCAACCCCATCTTCTTACCTACCTCCGAACTCGCCTTGCCCAATGCGGTCTCCCAGTGTGAGATGCTGCAGGTTCAGCAACCAGCCGGCTGAGCAGGGGCACAAGGGTGGGTTAAGCAGGTGGCACCAGGGGGTCCATGCTGCCTTGTCCCCAAAACCCAGACCACGACCCTCTCCTGTCATTCCCTACCTTTGGCCAACTCCTCCTCGGCTGACTTCATCCCAGTTTTTGGTTTGGGCTTCACCAGCTTGGTGCAGATGGCTCCCTGCTCCTTCATGTAGTACTGCCGAGGGATGGAGAGATGCCACCTCTTACCCCCAGGTTTGGGGTGTAGAGCCGGGAAACAGCCGCAGAATGCTCCACGGGACCCCATCACCATCACCACCCTCGAGGGGCCCAGAGCCGTGTTTCCCCCAGCGCTGCAATTTGCAGCCCATCTCTCAGCCCTGCTCCCCTCCCGGCACAGCCAGGGAAACACCGTGATGGACCACAGGCGATCCAGGATGCCACCGGTCAGCTGAGAGCAGTTTGCAGAGGCAACGCGGAGCGGAAGCGGCAGGACAGCTGTCGCAGTTACAGAACAGGGCCGGAGCAGCTGAAAGGGGAAAGGACTCACCCGAAAGCAGAAATTCTGTCTAAATGAGGAAAACATATGAGAGTGCAACCCCTGGAGAGGAGACAGGCAGCAACTACAAGACAGGGTGAAGATGGACCTTGAGGAAGAGCTTGCTGGAAGGACGAGAGCTAATGCGGCAGCCTGGGAACCCCACGGAATCAGCAGGTGAGAGCGGGGCTCGGAGGGGAGAGAAACATGGCAAGATGACTCCAGCCTTGGCAGGGCTCAGACTTCATCCAGGGTCCAGGGCTGGCAGAGGCTGCTGGGATCTTCATTTTCCAAAATGCCCTAAGCCTCACTGCTGTGTGGAGCACTGAACAAGCAGGGATGGGGGGAAACGGGGTCCTGGGCAGGGGACCGGGGCTGCTGCCAGCACGGCTGCTTCGCAGCAGAGGGCATTGGGGCATTCCAGATCTGCCTGTCGCACCCCAAACTGAGTGAGAACCACAAGCCTTTAGCAGGGACGGGGAATTACACCGGGTAATGAAACCCAATGAAAACCACAGGAGAAAGGGACAGGGATCCGCTACTGCGCTGGGTGACCCCATGAGGTTCTTGCCCCCGGTCCGGTGCTGGCAGCTCTCACTGCCCAGGGAGGGGGGTCTCACCTCGATCATGTCGATGAGGTTGGAGAAGTACTGCTGGCTGTCGATGCTGAGCGTGTTCTCCTCATGCACCACGCGGTAGTGGATCACCTCCTTGCCGAAGCTCACACACAGCACGTAGTCACCGGGGTGCCGGATGGACTCACGCACCAGAAACAGCCCGTCCTCGGGGGGCTGCAGCTCCTGCACTGCCTCCACCCCCGAGATCTTCCCGTGGAACCAGCTGGGGAGAGGGGGCATTGGGGAGAGGGGCACTGGGGAGAGGGGCTGTGCCGGCAGGCTTCCCCCGGCACCAGCAGCAAGATGGGGAGAGCAGAGCCCCCACCCAAGTTAGGTAGACCCCATTGCATAAAACCCCTCCCCACGAGGCCCATCCAAGCTGGGTGGGCACAACTGGGGGTCTTTAAAGCCAGGCACTGGCCCCAGCAAATCCCTCCATCGCCAGGGCACGGCTACAGGCTGCTCTACCCCCCGCTGCCCACCTACTCACGGCATGAGGCTGAGCTTGGGGTCGACGCGGATGGCACCACGCTCCCGCAGCGCGCTGGCTGCCAGCAGCCCCTCCTGCCCCGTATCGTTGTGCCTGGCTCGGTACCAGCTCTTGCCCTGGGGGCGAGAGGGTCTCAGAGGGAGGGAAGGAAGGCAGGATCTCCCTGGGAAGGGGGGGGGACCTGTCCCCGGTGGTTCAGCTGATAGCACTAGGGTCCCATCCCCTCCATGCCCTCCCGGGGCAGTGAGTCCCCTGTGCACCCATCAGGCTCACCTCCACGGCCTCGATGATGGTGACCACGTCGCCCTTGTGGAAGGCCAGCTCCTGGGCCTTGGGCTTGGTGTGGTCATGTTTGGTGACACACTGCGTCCCAGGGGACCAGTGTTTCTGCAAGGGAGAAGGCAGCGTCAGCAGCGACAGCAAGAGCTGGTCCCCCTGCACCTCCCACAGCCATCAGGGCCAGCCCCAAGGACCCTTCTGAAGTCCAGGCTGGGAACAAGGGGCACTGGGCACGAGCCCCCCTGCACCCCACAGTGGTCCTGAGGGGACATGTCACCCCAATGTCATCAGGGAAAGTGCTGGTATCCCTGTGGCAGCCCCGCTCACCCTGGACATGGTCGGCCGTCAGTGCATCAGGGACTCCCTGTCCTCTCCTGCTGCCACCTGCAGAGAAGAAACCAAAGGGGGCTGTGGAGAGATGGGGCTGAGCTGGCCCCTCCCAGGCCACCACTGCTGTCCCCACAGGGTCCTCTGGCCAGTGCAGCTCCTTGTAAGCCCGTCCATCACCCAGGGCAGCCCTGCACCACAGGAGCTTAGAGCAGGCTGTAAACCCTGCCCGTGCTGGCTGTACCCTGGGGACACTCCTGTCCTAAACCTAGAGGGGAGCAGGACTCACCTGTCCTGGATCCTGCCCCTTCTCCCTGCCTTGGAGTCCAAAGCTTCACTCCACTGCCCACCAGTGCTGCAGGCACGTCAGGAGCCCATCGCTGCGGCCACAGTGGGGAATGTGGTTTTACAAGGAACTTGTTTTTTCACCTCCTGTTGCAGCAGCTCCAAGTCATCAGGGCCATAAGAAGCATCGGCCGCAGGGCCCTGATGATGTGTGACTCAGCAGGGCTGATGTGGGGGCTGCTCACTGCAGGGAGAACGCCGATGGGCAAGGCTGGGCCAAGGTGACACTGACACATCCTCTGGCTGTGGATGACCATGCAAGTTTCCTGTGCTCCCCATCACCAACTTGTCATGCTGACCAGTTGCATGTGACCAGTTTCCAATTAAAAATGTTGGGTCTTTTCCTACTGGAGCCCTTCATCCCCACTGTCACCTCCATGGAAGGATCATAGAATCACAGAATGGTTTAGGTTGGAAGGGACCTTGAAGATCATCTACTTCCCCCCTCCACCCCCTGCCCTGGGCAGGGACACCTCCCACCAGCCCAGGTTGCTCCAAGCCCCGTCCAACCTGGCCTTGAACACCTCCAGGGATGGGGCAGCGACAGATTCTCTGGGCAACCTGTGCCAGGGGCTCACCACTTTCATCGTAAGACACTTCTTCCTTATGTCCAAGCTAAATTCACATTCTTTCAGTTTAAAACCACTTCCCTTTGTCCTGTCTTGGTAAAGTCTTAGTAAGCCCCGTTTAAGTATTGAAAGGCCACAATAAAGTTTCCCTGGAGCCTTCTCTTCTCCAGGCTGAACCCCCCCAGCTCTCCCAGCCTGTCCTCCCAGCAGAGGGGCTCCAGCCCTCGCAGCATCTCCGGGGCCTCCTCTGACCCCACTCCAACAGTTCCATGTCCTTCTTATGTCGGGGGCTCCAGAGCTGGACACAATATTCCAGGTGGGGTCTCACCCGAGTGCAGCAGAGGGGCAGAATCCCCTCCCTCGCCCTGCTGGCCGCGCTGCTGGGGATGCAGCCCAGGGTGTGGGGGGGCTTTCTGGGCTGCTAGCTCACATTGCCGGCTTGTGGCCATACCACCAGTATCCTCAAGTCTTTCTCAGCAGGGGAATCTCAATCCCTTCATCCCCCAGCCTGTATGGATACCAGAGGTTGCCCCAGCCCAGGTGCAGGACCTTGCACTTGGCCTTGTTGAACTTCATAAGGTTCATATGGGCACACTCCTCTAGCCTGAAGTTCCCTCAGAATGGCATCCCCTCCCCCAAGTGAATTGACTGCACCACTCAGCTTGGTCTCATCTGCAGCCTTGCTGAAGGTCCACTCAATCTCAATATACATGCCACTGATGAAGATATTAAATAGTATTTGTCCCAGTATGGACCCTTGAGGGACCCCACTTGTTACTGCTTTACACTTGGACATGGAGCCATTGACTGTAACTTTTTGGATGTGGCGACTCAGCCAACTTTATCATCTAACAGTCCATCCTCAAACCCATATCTCTCCAATTTAGAGGTAAGAATGTTGTGGGGAACCATATCAAAAGCCTTACAGAAGTCCAGCTAGATCATAGAATCATAGAATGGTTTAGGTTGGAAAGGACCTTGAAGATCATCGAGTTCCAACCCCCCTGCCATAGACAGAGACACCTCCCACTAGAATTAATATTAGGGGGAATAGTGAGGTTAGGCAGAGCCTTTATATCTAGAATATGAACAACTATTATTTATTCATGTCAATCTTTATAAGTGGCTGTGACTATTCTTGCTGTGTACACCTCACAGAAGTTTCCATGTGATGACATCTGTAGCTCTTCACTGGTCCACTGATGCAGTCACTCCATCGTAGAAGGCTGCTAGATAAGTCAGGCAAGGTTTGCCTTCGGTGAAGCCACATTGACCGCCCCTCATCACCTCCCTGTCTTCCATGAGTTTTGACATATCTTTCAGGAGCATCTGCTCCATGATCTTGCCAGGCAGTGAGGTGAGGCTGACTGGGTGGTAGTTCCCAGGGTCCTTCTTTTTACCCTTTTTAAAAATGAGTGTGATGTTTCCCTTTTTTTCAGTCGTTGGGAACTTTGCTTGACTGCCACAATTTTTCAAATATGATGGAGAGGGGGTTGGCTACTACAGCAGCCAGTTGCCTCAGGACTCTAGGCAGCATCTTGTTGGATCCTGTAGATTTATGTATCTTCAGGTTCCTCGGGTGATCTTGAACCTGATCTTCTCCTACAATGGGAGGGACTTTATTCCTCCAGTCCCTGCCTTGAGGTTCAGAGGCTTGAGAGATGTGGGAAGAGAGATTACCATTGAAAACGGAGGCAAAAAAACCCCAAACAAATAAACGTTGAGTACCTCAGCCTTCTCCATGTTGGTTGTCACCAGCTCTCCTGTCTTATCTAAGGGGGGCACATTTTCCTTAATCTTCCTTTTCTGGCTAATGTAGCTGTAGAGGCCCTTATTATTCTCCATGTTGCTTGTCAAATTCCACTCCAGCTGTGCCTTAGCTTTCCTGATCCCATCCCTGCGCACCCAGGCAGCATCCCTATGTTCTTCCTGGGATACACGTCTCTGGTGCCACTGCCTGTGTATTTTGCTTCTTATACTTTGGTTTGTCCAGGAGGTCCTTACTGAGCCATGCTGGTTTCCTCCCTTCCTTGCCCCATTTTTTTAACATACAGGAATTGAGAGCTCTTGCACTCTAAGAAAAGTGCCCTTAAAGAGCCACCAGCTCTGTTCAGCTCCTTTATGCCCAAGGGCAGATTCCCAGAGGGTTCCATCCACTAATTCCTTGAACAATTGAAATTGTGGATGGTGGGACTCAATGGGCAAATCCTCTCCTGCTGCCTTAGCAGCACAGGGGCCCTGGGAGGGGACAGCTCACCTGCTGGGGCGTTGACACCAAGCCTGTGCCCTTAGTGGCACTACCTGAGCTGTTGTTCATCCCCATACCATGGCATCACCCCCAAACCCACCAAGTTCTTAAAAATTCAAGTCATGGTTTCTGGAAGTTGTTCTGATTTCAGCATCCTTCCTCCAGATCTATTTTCCAGTTGAAATTTCTCTCCGTCACGGCAAGGCCGACGCTTTCTTTTCTTTTCTAAAGGAAGGTGGGATTTCTCAGTGCTTGCAACTCACACTCTTCAGCTTTGCCAAAGATACCATCCAATGAGACCCATGTTCCACGTATGTGAAGCTGCTTTGTGCCCACCTTGCTCCTTCGTACCAGAGAACTAGATAGTGTGACGCTATCCCAGCAGCTCCATGCTCCTCTCTGTTTCCAAGACCTCAAAACAGCCAGGGCAGCATCGGCTTTCAGAGAAGAGAAATGTCTGAGGAGGGGGAGAGGCGATTTCATTCATGCCCTGGTTTTCTTGTTGCTCAGTGAAGACGGGAGCCTGGGCAGGTCAACGCAGGGCTGGGACCCGGCGCTGACTGCGCCGCTCCAGGAAACCCCCTGTTGGCCTCTTGGAAACTTCTAGCCAGAGCAGGACAATGTCTCCCCATCTCTGCTGGGCTGGGAGAGGTGCAGGAGCTCACTCAGCTCCTTGGAGCAGAGATGACAGTCTTTGCTCTATTCCTCTTTTGGAGGGTGAGTCACGGTCACTTCTCTGCATCACCAGTGGTAAACCCCAGCCTGTCTCCATGACAGTGAGGATCTGAGGACTTATCATGCTTCCCTATCCAGAACGACAACAAAAAAGTGACAATTGAAGCTCTTGCAAGGTTATTAGCAGGCAGCAGTTTTATCTGTTCCAGAAGCCATCATCACACATATTATCTTGGTGGACTTGAAGATGCAAAGGCAGCCACTCGGTGCCTGTTCCCCAGCAGGCACAGCCAAAGTCTGACATGACTGAATGCAGCTCAGCTCAATTCCAGGATGGGTAAGGACCTCATGGGCACAGAGCCTAGGGACAGGGTCCACTCCATACTGTGGTACAACCTGGTACGAGGAGGGACATGCTGGCTGTGCCAGGAAGAATGAGTGTGGCTCTAACAGCTGGTCCTTCATTTGGCCCTGCTGCGCCAGGACAGTAATTTCTGATGAAAAGCAGCAACTGTTTGCTCAGTCCTGCCCCTGTGTGCAGACAGCGGGTGGTGCTTGGAATCACAGAATCATAGAATGGTTTAGGTTGGAAGGGACCTTGAAGATCATCGAGTTCCAACCCCCCTGCCATGGGCAGGGACACCTCCCACTGGACCAGGTTGCCCAAGGCCACGTCCAGCCTGGCCTTGAACACCTCCAGGGATGGGGCCTCAACAACCTCTCTGGGCAACGTGTGCTAGGGGCTCACAACCCTTAAAGTGAAAAACTTCTTCCTAATGTTTAATCTAAACCTGCCCTCTTCCAGTTTAAAGCCATTGCCCCTCATCCTATCACTCCATGCCCCAGTAAAAAGTCCTTCCCCAGCTCTCCTGGAGCCCCTTTAGGAACTGGAAGGCCGCAATAAGATCTTCCCGGAGCCTTCTCTTCTCCAGGCTGAACAGCCCCAACTCTTTCAGCCTCTCCTCATAGGAGAGGTGCTCCAGCCCTCAGATCATCCTCGTGGCTCTCCTCTGGACACGCTCCAGCAGGTCCATGTCTTTCTTATGTTG